GGAGGAGGAGGAGGAGGAGCAGGAGGAGCAGGATAACCAATACTGTCTAGTACTGTCAGCGCTTGCCCCACTGGCTTTGACCTCGCAGGAGTGCGCGCTTCGGAGCACGCAGGAGGGGTCGCGGCACGCACGCCCCGGAGCCGCCGTACCATCGGGGCTGGAAAGACCTCCTAATTACCCTGACACGTCGATTAAGGAAATGGCCGTTTTCGGTTCGCGAGAGGGCGTCGCGGCCGTCATTGTTGCGGGTCCAGGTCCATCGGTTTCGGCCCCAGGCCGTTTTCACTAAGGGGAGGTCTACTAAAGGGAGGTTTGTCCACCGCCGATACCAGCGCGCGCGGTGGCGGATGTGGTGCTCGATGCTACGAACGCGTTCATCCGCGACATCAGGCCGGACACATTCTTGACGCCCTGCAACCAGGTCGGGTTGACCCCAGAGGGGGTCCAGCGACGACGGGGTGGGCCAAATAGATCTGGTGCAATTGATTATTGAGGGGTTGCAATACATTGCGCGGCGCGAATGTCTTGCAGGACTTTCGCGTGCAATGCATTACTTGCGGTACAAGGCAATACAGTTCTCCGGCGCAATGCATTTGCGATACAATTGCCCCGAATTTATTGCACCACCCCCTTTCAGCTGGATCCCCTTTTGGGTCACCCAAACCAGGGCAGGGTCTTCGCGACCACGGACTTCGATATTCTGGATGAGAGCGTGAGGAAGTCGTACCACGCCTCGGCCGCGGTCCTCGGTGTCGACGTGCCGCCGGGCCGACGCTGGTCTGCAGTGATCACCCCTCTGGTGCTGCACACGCGGACGGTGACTGATATGTTGCACTACTTGCGCGAGAGTCCGAGCCCCCTGTCCCTGTGCAGCGGCCCGCTCTGCGGGCACGTCAGGAACGAGGCCACCGCGATGGCTCTGTACTATCTGTACACCGCCACCAAGACAGACGATAGGTGCATCCACCAGGCGTCGTCGCACAGCCCAGCGATCTCCATGCTGCGGGAGGCGGCCGATCTGAACGACGGGATCGCCGAGTCAGCTGTCAACGACTTCGAGGTCGTCCTCTTCGGAGCCCAGCACGGTGCGCTGTCGAGCTTGGCCGAAGGTGTGAGCCAGAGGATTTCGAACCAGCTGCAGGGCATCTTCGAGGGCGCCAGCGTCGAAGACCCTTCGGGTGACAGCGCCGCCACCCTGGCGGCGTGCGTGGTCGGCGGCTGACCCACCTCTCTGCGCTCGATATTCTTAAATCAGGAGGGAAAGAAACACACAGACACAATTAATCGTCAACTCCCAGGAAAATATGCAAAAATATGGGAAGTGGTGGGGAAGACAAAAACCCAGAAAATATGGGAAAATATGGGGGATATTTTTATTTGTGTGTATTTATTTGTGTGTTCCAGTTCCCCTTCATTAAAGTCGTGCTGCAGTTGTTCGTGCTACCCGTTAACGTATGTCGCCGCGACGTTTGTTCCGACTCGCGGCCTTCGTCTTGGGGAGGGCGCCTCGGGCACCAGGGCAAGCGCCGCCTCAGAGGTGCGGTGGGTCTGTCGCGGCTTTGCCGCGGTGCCAGCGTCGACACCTGGGCGCGGGGCGCAGGGCTTGCCGCGGGTTTGCCGTAGTGTCGGCTCTGTCTTCTTGGGCGCGTCGAGAGCAGACGGCGCGGCGACATGTTAAGAACAACAATTCAGTGCTCGTGCGCTGCGCGCGCGTGCAGATTGTCGCGCGCTTTTGCGACCGAAGCGGCCTCGCATGGGCAGCTTGGTAACGACGAAGCGCGCTCCCGACATCATGGATGCCGAACGGCATCGTGGCTGTGCTGGGACTGCGCCAACGATGCGCGCGCACCGACCTGCACGGCCGGATGGGCTGCTTCTGCCAGCCTGCTGTGTTGAGGACACGGGCGCATAAGATAAATCGCGCGCTCCTCGTCCCTGGCCTCCTCTTCCCGTCCTCCAGCCCTTCCCATACCCTCTCCCCTCATCCCTTCCTCTCCGCTCCGTTCCTCGTCCCCGATGCACTCACGACACTTTTTACGTCGCAGCGCGGCAGAGGCAGTCCGCACGCTCGCTCGGGCGGGCCTGGAGACGGCAGGCGCTAATGATCCGGCGGCAAGAGCTGGAGAAGAAACGCACTCACGACACTCGCGAGGGGTAAGAAGTGCAGGCGCTCGCATCGGACGCTCCTTACGCCTGGAGCTGCAGACACTTACCTGGGCGCAGATTCCTCCCCTGCGCTCCTCCTCCCGAGGCGGGCGACGGAGGGAAGGGGACGAGGGGGACGGCAAGAAGAAGAAGGAGGAGGAGGAGGTGGAGGAGGAGGAGGAGGAGGAGGAGAGAACAAGAGGGGAGGGAGAAGGGAGAGGAGGAGGAGGAGGAGGAGGAGGAG